TGGTTTTTCTGATTCCATCATTTGGTCTCTCCTACCACATTTCACTTGCCTTTACTCTTTATTGTAGCCCTTATTTTTCTCTCTGTAGAAATAATGCACACATTTCTCTATAAGCATGGGGAGTCTGCAAAAAAGGTTGCAGCATATGGAATGACAAGATGAAAATAAAAAATATATACTTCATTTCTCAACTTAAATTCCACTAAGTTCAAGATACTTTTGTAAGTGATGATTATCAGTGATCTAATTTTCCCTTAAAGAACTGAGGATCCTGGCAATTGAAGCATGTCAGTGTAGTCATTTATTACCTTTTTAACTCAAGGAAAATGGACGCCCTTTGGCAAAGTGGCTACTAGTTTGGTTGCCAAGGTCAAGGTCAGCAGTTGATATCACTAGCTGCTGCCATAAATATGTACAGCATTGGACATCCCTTGGTAGCAGTTTGGAAACCCATTCATGGCAGTTCTCCTCTGCTGCATGGGTTGGAATAATCCTGGATGGTGGTGAGTTTTAAAAATATTTTAAAGAAACAGAAAGAGATCAGAAGGAGCCAAATTAGGACTGTCAGAGAAATGCCTAATAATTTCCTAAAGAAATTCTCATTGTTTGATGAAAACATGAGCAGGAAGACTGTTGTGCCGTAGAAGGGCTCTCCACTGAAGCTTTCCTGGGCATTTGCCTGCTAACCTTTGGCTAACTCTGTCAAAACACTCCCCTACTAAGTAGCTGTGCTCATTCTTTGCCTGCGCAGAGTCAACAAGCAAATTGTCTTGAGTTTCTCAAACACTGTTGTCAAGACCTTCGCTGTTGCTTTGGCTGGGCCACTTGTACCTCTTGGTACCCGAGGCTTTGTCTTCAGAATAGTAACGGTCAGACCTTATTCCATTTCCTCAAGAAAGTGCTTCCACCTGAAAATTGGAAACATTTTCACGGGAAGCTCTGCTTTTGTCTGTCCACCATCTAGGCACCAACAGTCTTTCCACCTGTTGAGCAGAGAATTGGCTCAGCTTTAATTTTCTGGTCAGACTTGTGTAAGTGCTGCCAATTGTGATGTCTATGGGGTTGACCATTGTCTCTGCTGTTAAGCATTGGTCCTCTTCAATTGAGGCATGTACAAGTCTAATGTTTTTCTGCTTCACTTCTAAAACACGATATCCATTTATAGCTGCTGATTTCTCTTGAGCATTTGCCCTCATAGACTTCTTAGGGAACAGCACTGATTTCACTATTCTTCTAGAGAAGCCTCACCATAAATTTGGTGTCTGTTTTTGCTTCAGTGATAGCAGAATTCAGGTTGCTCCGATGGGCCTCTTTGCAAACCGATGTCATTTTCTCCTCAATGCCTCAAACGAGATCCTCTTCAGACCTGTTATCATAAATTAATATGAGTTTATTTTTATGCCCCAAAATAGAAACCCATGTTTAAGTGTTTTTCATCAGACACACTTCCTGTAAACTTTTGGAAACAGTTCCTGTACATGTATAGTGCTACCATAACTATTGATTCTGACTCATGCCATCCCTGTCGGGAAGAGTAGATAGACACTGCTCCTCGGAGCCCGGAGGCTGGGCCAGCCTTTTCAGGAGCAAACTGTCACCTCTCCCTCCCAATCAATGGCAACCTCTGATTAACAGCCACGTGCTTAAGCACTGCTTCCTGCTCTATATCGACCCAGCAGAGAATGGCCCTGTGGCTTTCCCAAGGTGGCGATTTTTATGGAAGCAGATCGCCATTTTTCTTCCAGAGAGCAGCCGGTAGATTCAAAACGCCTGCCCTTTGGTTAGCGTTTCCCACAGTGGGTAATGCTGTACCTTGGGGCAGGTGGGGATGGGGGGCTGGAACAATCCAGAAAGGCTGCAAAAACAGATACCAACACTTTATATTAGATTATGGGCTGTAGTGTTTCATGGCCAAATGGGGTGCAGAGTAATTTTCCCCCCCTGAAATGGAAACCAAATCCCAATAAAACTCATGACTCATGAAGACCCCTAGGGCAGGGCAGAACTACCCTTGTGATGACCTGAAATGGTAACACTTTTCTGGGAGTAGAAAGCACCGTTTCTCCCATGCAGTGGCTGGTAGCTCTCTACGCATAAGGGCTATGCCGTCAGGGCTCCTTGTTTACTCCAGCAAACGGTTAGAGCCTCAGAAATGCACAGCGTAGTTTCTCCTTGCCCTATAGGGTCGTTTTGAGTCGTATCAACTTGCTGGCAGTGAGTTTGGGTTGAGTTGCTTTCTATAGGTTGTCATTTGCAAAGGAAACCATCACATTCCCTCTCCCTCCTAACCCCCCAGCACACCTGGAAGATTCAAAATGCCTGCCTTTCAGTTAAAGGCCTTGGGCTTTGCCTCCGGGCTACTAGGAAGCCTAGGTCCCTCACACCTTGAATCAGGCAAGGCAGTGCCATCGGGTGCCCCTCCTTTTCTTTTGAAGTGACTGTTCCTAACCATTTGTATGCCAGATAGGGAGAGTGGCCCTCTCTGAGTCTCTGTACTGGTTTGGTTTGGTTTTGTATGCTGCCAGGATTTTAACACGTCTGTTTAGTATTTGGAACTTTATATGTACAGATACTTTAGATATACAATGAAGAATTCGTTAGCTAGAAAATCGCTTTTATGGCTATATGTGAGTGAAAGCCAAATACTCATCATTTCAGTAAGTTGTTCTCAAAAGGCATGTTAGTCCCCAAAGAGAATGTTCTACATCCTATTGGGCTGAGTTGCAACTGAGGTCTTTAACACTTAGGACTCAAGGAAACGCAATGAATTAGTCCAGAGGAAGCCCCACCTTAAGGTACTGTCTGTTCTGATGTAGACCACAATACAAAGTCCTGGACAAAGTGGGGGAAATGGAGAACAAACTTCAAGATCATAAAAATGACCTGAGACTCTGGCCCTCCCATACCTTTCAGCCCATAGGAACTCACCACACCCTGGGGATCAGGCAAGCAACGGGCAGGCCTGTGACGTGCGCAGCAACACCAGAGGAGAGGGCACTGCACGGTCTGTACAAGCAACAGTGGGAAACCACAGAGTCAGTGTTGGCCCAAGAGCAAAGTTCAGGAGGCAGGAAGGGGCAGGGGAGAATGAAGTGGAAAGAATGCTGTTAACATGTGCATGTTTCTGAATGGGGGATTAGTGAGCTGTGTAAACGTTGACCCAAACCACCATTTCATAAAAGAAGAAAGGGGAAAAGCTCTTACGTTGTAGGAATTGTGCTGGGTGCTGGTTCCAGGGTCATAACTAAGTCAGATGAAGCTGTCTGTCCTGTGGTGCATAAAACCAAAAAACTGAAAAAGCAAACAAGTAATGTGTAAGCTTAATGAAATGGACATTGGTGGAAGGCAACACTAGATATGATTGGTCTCTCTCAGGCAGAGCCAAGATCTCAGATCAAAAAGCAATCTGCTGTCCAGAGCAGAGGAAAGGGTGTTCTGGCTAGCAGTAGTGGCAAGTTGCAGTAGCCCTGGGAAGGGCAGTGTGCTGGAAGAGCTGTGGAAAACAGGTGAATGGAATGGAAGGTGGTCTGAAAGGAGATGGAGGTGGGAGACGTGCAGACCAGGGAAAGAGTGTGGGTTGTAGCTTTAGTGCAGTGGCTCTCTGTTGAGCAGTTGTGAGCACAGCACCAAGCAAAATCTGACGTAAGCTGGCAGGTCCAGGGGCAGCAGACAGCATTTCTTAGCAAGAGGCTGTGATAGTGAAAATGAAGAGCAATGATGCTAGTATTTGGGATGGAGCCATTGAGATTAATTGGGAAAGCAAAGTGCAGTAGATGTAGGAATTGGGAGAAAGCGAGAGGCTGGCTGACATAGGATAAAAACGACTGGAGGAGCACAGGTCTGGGAGGGATGAGGACCAGCAGAGAGGAATCAATGCCCTTGTTCACTAATAAAATAGTTACTGAGTATGCTAGGCTCTCTCCAAGCAAGTGGGGACCCAGGATTGATCAAAACAGGCAGCCGTCTGTGCCATCAGGGAACTTATATTCTATGATGTTTGTAGAAGTGCAATATATTTTAGAGAAGATAAAATGTCCTCTGAGGAAACTCACTCACTGCCAGTTAGTCAAGTTTGACTCATAGCGCCCTGCTGGACAGGGCAGAGCTGCTCCTGTGGGTTTCTCAGACTAATTCCTGCTGGGAATGGAAAGCCCGTCTCTCTCCGGCTGAGTGACTGGTGGTTTCACACTGCTGGCCTCGTAGTTAGCAGCCCAACAAATAATCTCAAGATCATTTACATTTTCAGATGGCTGGTTAGGGAAGGCCTTCCTGTGTCAGGGATATTTGAATGGGACTTCCAGGCAGTATGAGAACAAACCACATGGATTTGCAAGGGAACCGTCTGTGTTCCAAGACAAGAAACAGCCAATGCACCAGCCATGAAGCAGGAGAGCACTGGTTTATTCCAGGAGCAGAGGGAACAGTGGGGAAATATTCAGAAACTAGATAAAAATGCCGAAGGGTGTGAATGTAGAGCAGATTCCCTTGACTGCTCCTGCTTTTATATGGAGTAGATGGGAAGCAGTTAGGAGGGCTTTGGGTAGAGTAGTAATCTGGTCTGATTCACATGCTGGCACGTCGAAAGCAGACCAGTGGGAGAGGAAGAGAGAAAGGGTCTTCCATAGAAGGGTAAAACTTCTAGTCCCAGCAAAAGGCTGTGGTGGCTTGGTCCGGTAGTGAGGGAGGAGAAAAAGATTGTCAGGTTCTAGGTACACCTTCACAGCAGAAATAATGGACTTGCTGATGTGAACGACACATTTCAAAATGTCTTATAAATTGTTTTCCCATTCAGGAAAAAAATTCTAGGCATCATACCAGGTCTTTACTAGAGAATCATAATGATATCAATTGAATAAGAATTCTGTTCCTAAATTAAAACATCTCTAAGAAGATTGATGTCATGATTCTTCATCATGACCTCTTTTGACTTCACCATGCAGTGCAAGGCAGAGGCTTTCCTGGTGCATAAAGAAGAACTAATGAGCTCTTTGCCTTTTCAGCTGTTTGATGGGGACAGTGAAAATGCCAAGCTGGTGGGAACGTTCTGTGGTTCATCGCTACCTGCTCCTTTCATCTCTTCCGGTAACTTCCTCACGGTTCAATTTGTCAGCGACCCAACTTTAGAAAGGGAAGGATTTAATGCAACATATACCATCGTGGACAGTGAGTACCTTGAAGCATTTTTGTATGTTATGAGATGCATGTGTCCTAAAAAGAATCCCATGTTCCATGTCAAGTACTAAGCTCACTATTAACTATGGAATGCAATGCCAGAGGCTTAGCTCCATGTTCATTACTCTGTGTCCAAGCTATAATACAAATTTGACACAATTCTTACACAAAAATGCATATCAAGAATATATGTTAGTCTTTATATATGTGTGTGGGAGGATATGGATTGGGAAAAGGACAGGAGCAGATGGTCTCATCCACTATTTTTTGTTTTCTTGCCCTCACAGTGCTGTGTGGAGGAACCTACAATGCGACTCGGGCCCCACAAACTATCTTGTCGCCAAATTCATCGGACCCTGATGCGCCACTGCACACCTGTACGTGGGTCATGGAAGCCCCTTCTCACCAGCAGCTCAAGATAACTGTGCTGGAAGTGCAGCTCCGCTCACAAGACTGCTCGCAGAATTACGTGGAGTTCCAGGACTCCCCAGAGGTAATAATGACAGCATGACTGACAGTCATGCCTGGTGACCTTTCCACCAGTATTTGCAAAGCACTTGGAATAATGAGGGCATGATTAACGAAATTTGCTAAGTTACTTTCAGCTGAATTTGTTTTTCAGAACTACTTATGACAGGTTAATGACCTTGGACTTGATCCTGTTGGTCAGCAGCTCTCGAACTGGTTGGTGTACCTCAGAATCATCTGGGTGTCTTGGTCAATACGCATACTCAGTGGTTGATTGCCCCAGAAATTAGCTATTAATACATATATTTGATGAGCATCTCACATTTGACCCTTATGCTTTGGCAAATAGTGAGCTATCTAAACAATTCTACTGCCATGGAGTCAATGCTAAGTGACTTCTAGTGACCCTTTGAGATGGACAAGCATTTCCCTCTTTAGATTTCCTAGGCTGGAAATCTTCATGGGAGCAAACAGTCTCACTTTCTTCCTGAGGAATGACTGGTGTCTTTGAACCACCAAACTTGTGTTTGTGTTTAAGAGACCAATACTTACCCAGCAGTGCCACCAGGGCACCATGGACCTGTGTACAAGGAGGTACTAAAGTCAGTAAAGAACACAGGAGGATCAAATTGATAGACTCCATGATGATGATGTGTACATTTTCAGGTCTTCTATGTTGCAATGATGAGATGACCCAGGGAAAATCTATAAGTGAAGAGCCGGGAAGTATGGATGGCTATTTGCTGAACACCAGCTTCACAGGAGTGTGTCATTGCAGTTGGGGAGCAACTACTCTACCACATCCCATGTGTTAGCAACAATAATGTCTGACAGTCTACTCTCTTCTTGGGTTGTAGGGGTAGTCCTTGCTCTCAGCCATAGTCGGTCCCCTGATTCACAAATAAGTCTTGGTGGTGAAAGGCTTGATGACCTAAGTGTAGATGCCTGAGAATGCTGACGGTAAAAGGACAGCGGCATTGCTTTTCACTGCCGTCAAGTCCATGCGGACTCACAGCGACCCCTGTGGGTTTCTGAGACTCTGGGAGTAGAAGCCCAGTCTTTCTCCCAAGGAGCTGCTGGTGGTTTAGAACTGTCGACCACACAGATCGTAGCCCAACTCCTAACTACTACACCATCAGGGTTCCTAGTTTTGTCCAAAGCACAGACCTGGAGATAAATCCCAGGTTTCCATAGTAGCCAAGTGGCTGGGTCATTATTCCATTGATAATAGTTTTCAAAACGTAATCTTCTGTTCCCTAGTAGGACCCTTGCTGAAAGAACTTGGATCCAAGTGGGACAAAGCCCTTGGGTTAAAGTTCTTACAACTTCCCATGGCTTCATGAAGCCGAGACCCTAGGAATCATGGAAGAACACCCAGCAATGCTCATAGAGGCATATGGAGACTCTGGGACAAAACAGCAGCTAGACTGCCCTCAACTAAGCCCTGCTGCTTGTTGGGAATGAATAGTGTCACTGAATGAAATGCGTGAAAGAAAGGGCACTGAAGTCCCTACCTGGGTTGGGCGAAATGGGGATTTTCACATGTCTAAGAGTGGAAAAGAAGACCATAATTGCAGAGATGCTGATGACAAGATGTCTGGATAGCAGGCATTGGGGGTAGGTAGCCATAGTAGAGATGAAAGTCTCCCGTTTTAAGGAGTGAAATGTTAGGGTGTTTAATGAATCACATGTAAAAACTGAAAGGCCAGGGTTAGAAAAGATACTACAGACATAATCGGAAGTTAGAGGCAAAAAATTTCCTCCATAAGAGTTATATTTACAAAAGAATGGGCAGGTATTGGACTATGTACAATTGGTACAGTGGGCGCAACAGTGGGCTTAGACATGGCGATGATGGCTTGGGACTGGGCAGTGCTTCATTCCCGGACAGTTGCCAGTGTCAAGGCCAATCTCCGTCTCGTTGTAGTCATCCATTTTGAGCCCTTCAAACACTGTAACTAGTTTCCACCCTGAATATTTAAGCCATGCTATTACACAATGACCCCTGTGAATGCCTTAATTAGAAGGGAGCCTGACTTTCTGTTCCTGTAAAGATTCCAGTCTTGGAAATTCATGGGGCAGTTCTACCCTGTCCTGTGGGGTCCATGTGAGTCAGAATCCACTGAATGGCAGTGAATAAGTAGCCTTGTTTTTCCAGGTCCCACAAGTTTTCCATCTGTGATGGGGTGCAGTCACCACTTTCCTCTCATTTTCTATGTAGTAGAAACCTTTAAGTTTTCCTTTGCTGGAGGATTCTGTCTTTCCCAGGCTCTAGCTTGCACTGGTTTGACTGTGCAGACTTTAATCTCTGCTGCAATCTATTCTCTGTTGACACTCAAACTAATGTGACTTGGCTTCCACTTCATTTTAGATAAATGCTCACCCAGGAGTCCGACTTTGTGGCAGAAACATCTCCACTGTCCCTGAATTTTATTCTTTGACACGTACGGCAGTTGTCAAGTTCAAATCTGAAGTCTTTAACAGAGACTCAAGGCTGAGCTTTACTTATCAAATTGCAGGTAAGCGGGGTGTGTGTGTGGGGGGGCTGTGTCTTTGCTATTATTACCACTGTGGTTGGAGTGCCCTCTTGTGAGGCATTAAGATTTGTTAACAACAACAAAAACACCATAGGGGACAAGACTCTGACCTAAAACCCAGGTCCACCATAGCAACTTAGAAATCCCAACCAAACATACTATTAATTAAAATATTTAGAATATCAGCCTATTCTTTAAAGTTCATGTAAAAATATGATACGGGTTATTTTGATAATAATCCATTTGAGTTTATATTAAAAGAAATCCTACTGCCATCACATCAACTCTGACTCATAGCCACCCTATAGGACAGGGTAGAACTGCCCCTGTGGGTTTGGGAGACCGTAACTCTGGGAATAGAACATTTTGACTTTCTCTGGTGGAGCCTCGGTTGGTGGTTTCAAACTGCTAACTTTCCAGTGAGCGGCCTAACACGTAACCGCTATGCCAACAGGGCTCTAGGAACTACTGTATATGTGTGGGTGTATCATACACAAGGGACTTGAAATAAGTTCATAGAACGATGGAATTAAAACAGCAGTTCTCCACCTGTGGATCGTGACCCTTCTGTGGGTCAAACAACCCTTTCACAGGGGTCACCCAATTCATCACAGTAGCAAAATTACAGTGATGAAGTAGCAACTAAAATAATTTGATGGTTGGGGGGTCGCGGCATTAGGAAGATTGAGAACCACTGAATGAAAAGATAATGCATTTTTCCTGTGAACTTTTTCAAGCCCTTTCATATATGTAACTAGACATATTTACAGCTTTCTTGAGAGAAATTCATGTATCTTACAACTCAAGCATGTGACATGTGACAGTCCGTAGTCCTCAGTATAGTCACAAAGTCGTGAATCACTATACTTCCAGGAAAAGGTCTGGTTAAACACCAAGAATCTTGACTTCTGTCATTAGACGTTTCTTTCCAGAGAAACTATTTTGAGCCCAATTGAAATGCAAGCTGCTTTTGATGAAAGCAAACAAAGAAAAATACTCCTGGCACTGTTACTAAACAAGGGAAAGAGAACACTTTGTCAAATTCCTCAGCACAAATCATTCACTAAAGAATTTCAACAGAAAACTTCCTACAAAACTCAGTCCTGGGGGTTGAGCCTTCATGTCATGATCTAAAGGCCTTCATTCCCCACTTGGGTCTGACGAGAACAATGCAGAGACTTCTAGAACATCCCCCCTCCACAGCGAGTGCTCAACTTCCGTCTGTCATGTGAGGGCACTTTGTGCTCACTGGCCACTCTGCTGTATTTTCTCTGGGTGCAGTGACGTCACCTCTTGGGGTCTCAACTGCCTCAGAGGTAAATTAAGAAGCAGAATTAGCTTCTGTATCAAATGTGTTCAAATTTGAGTGACCTTTTAAATAGATTGTTACTGAGTGGGAAGAGCATGACCTATCTGGAGACATGCCCTGCTGACGGCTCTTTCTCCCCTCTAAGATTGCAGCAGAGAATACAAGCAGGCATTTGGCAATCTGAAGAGTCCCGGGTGGCCAGCTGGTTATAACAGTGACCTGGACTGCACAGTGACTCTCGCGGCACCGCGGAACCACTCCATCTCCCTCTTCTTCCATTCCTTTGACATCGAGGCGTCCAGCGGATGCACACACGATTTCTTAGAGGTAACATGCACTGAAATATTACTGAAGGATTTAAAAGACGCCAGAATTTTTACCTTTGACACTAGTTAGCCGAGGCTCTCCTTATTCCATTTGTGGGCCCACTAGTCTTTTGGTTCATGAATACATTCTGGGTACCTTCTAGGTTCAGGTACTGTGCAGGGGCCTCAGAAGGCTCCCAAGTCTCGGGAAAAGCAGAAAAGGGCAGAATGTGATAACACAATGTTAACAGCTCTCGCAGTGGCTGTGAGTCAGAGGCTACTCCACACCGACTGGTTTTGTTTTTTAACTCAGCCTTGGAGGTTGGAAGGAGGTAAGATCTGGGCTGTCAACCACAAAGTCAGTGGTTCAAACCCATCAACCGCTCGCTGGCAGTGAGTGAAACCTAAGGATGGAGGAGGAGTGATGGGTCAGGCCCTCCAGGACTCACCATACTAGCAGTCCTCTTCCTGGGGGTGGGGGGCATTCACCACTGTCCAGGCCAGGGCCACTTGGTTTAAATACTTGGAAAGTAGGTTTAAATACTTGGAAAGTAGTTATCAAAAGTACCAGAAAGGTATTCGTTTTCCACGGCTGCCAAAGGGTCACTGGTTGGTGTATAAAGTTAAAGAGTTCAGGCTGCTAACCAAGTCTACCCAGAGGTACTGCTGAAGAAAGGCCCGGCGATATACTTCCAGACAAAGCAACCACAGAAACCCTATGGAACACAGTACGACTGTGGCACCCATGTCTGGGCCCACCCCACTGCTCCTGGGTTTCCACTGGCTGCTCCACAGACATGAAGGATCTCTCTTCTGCTTAGCACCACCAGGCAAACTGCACCTCGTACTGCCCCCCTCCGCAGAAACCCGGTGACTGCAGACAGCCAGCGCCCGGCCCTGCTTTCAATGACGGAATCACAAAGAGAAGGGGAAAGTCTGGAAATCGTGGGAGCACACGTCAATAAAAGTAGCACTCACATTTGGTTCTAAGAGTGCACTGCCTACAAAATCCTTCCTTAATAGGCCTTGAGGGAGTGAGACTGGGCAGAGGGAAGCTGTCTGGTTGGAGAATGTGGTTGAACGCATAGTGTGCTTATCTACACATATGCATTGACTCATTTCCTGTTGTTGTTCCACTTACATTTGGTATGTAGTTTTAAGTCTCTTGACAGCAGAGCAGTCTCAATGAAGGAAAAGCAAACCAACCATGCTACCGTATCATATCATAGAAGTGACTGAAGTTTCCACGGACGACATGGCCTCCCTTCCACTACCTTTTAAACCTTTACTACATTCTTCAAAACGCCTCTCCAAGAGCGAACATTATAGGATCAAAGCACCAACTAGTGTATAAAATAAGTGCCCTGGTGTTTTAATTACTGTAAGTAAAAGTTACCTGCTGTTTGAGTCTAGACGCACATGGTTTTGCTGTATGAATTAAACATTGTTGTCCTTCGAACATGCAAGTGACTTTTGAGAGTGATTTGCAGGAAGGCTTTCATTATAAGGCTATAAAGAGACACCCATCAAGATGCATCCCCCACCCACTCTCACCTCACTGGCAGCAAGTTGATTCAGACTGGAGTGACCCTTGGTTGCTCAATGGTGTGAATTTTTATGGGATTAGAAAGCCTCATCTTTTTTCTGGGGAGCAGCTGATGGGTTCAAACCACTGACCAATGGGTTCACAGCCTAGCACCTCGCCCCCTGGGACCTCTAGTGATGCACAGCAAGGCTAGACAGAAAAGTGTGTAGTCTGAGGATAAAGTAACAACGGACTCTGGTTTTTACAGATAAGAAATGGACCTGATAGCAGTTACCCGCTGCTTGGCAAATATTGTGGAAATCTTCTTCCTAATCCTGTTTTCACTCAAAGCAATGAATTGTACCTGCGATTCAAGAGTGATAATGCGATTTCTGCTCCCGGATATGAAATTGTCTGGACTTCGTCACCCTCAGGTAAGGCTTCCCTAGTTTGTAAGGGACAGCGGTTCATGCGAGAAGATGAAGTGTCTATTAAAAAAGGGAAGTTCGGGTGACACTGTCGTTTTTTGCTTGATTATTTTGTAGAGGGGACACAAGATTCTTATCAATGAAAGTGCATAAATTCTTTGTTATTATTGTGTTCACTAGTTCTGTATAAAAAAGGAAACCCCTAATAAAACTCAGTGCCATCAAGTTGCTTCTGACTGAGCAACCCTCTAGGACAGGGTGGACTTGCCCTTGGGACTCTTCCTGGGAGTAGCCTCATCTTCCTCCCAGGGAGCGACAGGAGGCTTCCCACTAAAGACCTGGTGCTTAGCAGCCAGCACATAACCACTTCGACACCAGAATTCTGTTCAGTTCAAGATCTGCCCTCCAAAATCTGAATTTAATGTTTAGACCTTCCTTGCAGCCTCTATCATTTGGGGCCATTCGGGTTATTTTAGGAAATCACAGCAACACAAACTCACTGCCACAGGGTCCACTCTGACTCAGCGACCTTACGGGACAGAGTAGAACTGCCCCGGGGGCTACTGAGGCTGTATGTTCAGCAAATAGTTAAAGGAAATCTAAGCCCCGTCAATACATTTACATCTACAAAACTTCTGACAATATCTAAAAATCATCAGGAGGTGGGAGCTATTCAAAATAAGAGATTAAAAAGGACTCATTTAAGTGTACTAAGAGACAAGGAAAGGGGTGTATCAAGGCAACTATATAGATAATGAAATCCTTGCTCCTAAAGATAATTTAAAGATCATCTCCAATGTCCTTCTTTTACAGTTGAGAAATCACACACTGAGATGGATGAGTTGTCAAAATGCTCCACTAGGTTGGGCCAGAGGTAGGATTTGAACTCCAGGCTCCTAGTTCAGGGGCATTTTTATAATACCATGGAGTTTCCTCCCATGTGGGTAGGACATCTGGTTTCCCCTGGGTCACTAGCTATAAATCACAATAGTGTTGTTAATCTATAAGCTAACCAACTGCATACATTGAACATAGTGTTTAGAAAGCTTGAACTTCAAGTCTATCAGTCTTGGAGCTATTGGTTATAAGCCTGGTAAATCCACTTTTATAATAAAGCAGTCATTACCTAACCTACACTAACACACGCTCTTTGGGTCCTGCCCTGAAATAGAACGATTTCACCACATCTACACCCTTATTGGGTGTGGAGAGCGTATGCCATCAAAAGCACACAGATGACTTTCCTGACTTGTCCCTCCTGGATGGTGCAAGCAGTTAAGGACAGACCACTAGCCAAGAGATTGGTGGTTCCAATCCTCTCAAAGGCACCTCAGCAGAAAGGCCATCTGCTTTGGGAAGGTCACAGCCTTTAAAGCCTGGTGGAGCAGGGTTCTATTCTATACACACGGGCTGCCATGAATGCGTGCTGACTCAAACAACACCAGGTGTTTCATGAAGTCCTTTGGTTGCCCATTTTGTTCTCAGTCCTTTTAAAGAATAGGCCTGGAGGAGTTGTCCCCAAGCGGTGAAGTGCAGGGACATGATTATAGAAGTGAGGGTGAGGGATATAACCCAAAGAAGGGACATGAAAAGGGTTTCTACCTCCACTGTCTTGGAAATTTGCTTAAATCTCAGCACCTTACAGAAAAGCATCTGGTCCTACAGCCTTGCACATGTGCCCTAAAGCTGACTTCTTCACTGAATCCCACCTCCGACCACTGCTGGGGTGCTGTTTTGCAGGCTGTGGTGGAACACTTTACGGAGACAGCGGTTCGTTCACCAGCCCGGGCTATCCAGGGAGCTACCACAACAACACTCACTGTGAGTGGACCATCACTGCTCCTGCTGGGAGACCTGTGACAGTCAGCTTTCACTTTATCAGCATCGACGATCCAGGAGACTGTGTACAAAACTACCTCATACTCTACGATGGGCCAGATGCTGAGTCTCCATCCACTGGACCTTATTGTGGAGCAGTGAGTAAAATGAGCATTTCCAGATGTTTTTTATCTTTAAATAAAAACTAACCCGAGAGTAGACCTCTACAGGCAGGTCACATGCAAAATGCAAAGGAAGAGGCCTTTATCACAATCCATGCATCCATCCAGTGTGTCAAGCACATTTGTACATTTGTAGCCATCATCATTCTCAAAACATTTGCTTTCTACTTGAGCCCTTGGTATCAGCTCCTCATTTTTCTCCTCCCTCTCTGCCTCCCCTTCATGAATCCTTGATAATTTATAAATTATTTTGTCATGTCTTACACTGTCCAATGTCACCCTTCACCTACTTTTCTGTTGTCTGTTCCCCCAGGGAGGGGGTATATGTAGATCCTTGTGATCAGTTCCTCCTTTCTAACCCACCTTCCCCTTACCCACCCGGTATCACTACTCTCAATATTGGTCCTGAGGGGTTTATCTGTCCTGAATTCCCTTGTTTCTAGTTCTCATCTGTACCAGTGTACAATCTTTGTTCTAGCTGAATTTGTACGGTAGAATTGGGAGCATGATAGTGGTAGTGGGGGAAGCATTAAAGAAGTAAAGTTGTATGTTTCACCATTGCTACACTGCACCCTGACTGGCTCGTCTCCTCCCAGCGACCCTTCTGTAAAGGGATGTCCAATTGCCTACAGATGGGCTTTGGGTCCCCACTCCCCATCATTCACAATGATATGACTTTTTATTCTTTGATGCCTGATCCCTTTGACACCTCGTGATCACACAGGCTGGTGCAGAAGAAGCCTTTTAAACAAAAGGTAGTCTTCCTACTTCATTTTCATTTTGGGAACACGAGTGCCATCTAGTGGGTATTGCATTAAATTACTATTAATGGCCGTCAAACTTGGACTTGGTTAGCAATCCAGACTTCAACTCCTCAAGCAGACCCATGAAATCAGAATTATTGGATGAGGAGCTATTTTTAAAGCTCCGTAACTATAGAAAGATTGGGCTCCTGGTTCTACTTCATCTACTTGCTGAAATTTATAGGGATTCTTTAAAGAAACACACAGGGAAAGATTAAGACAAATAGGTACATAAAGAAATGTGGTGAAGAAAGCTTATGGTAGCTGGCTATCAAAAGATATAGCGTCTGGGGTCTTAAAGGCTTGAAGGTAAACAAGTGGCCATCTAGCTCAGAAGCAACAAAGCCCACATGGAAGAAGCACTCCGGCCTGTGCGATCACAAGGTGTCAAAGCGATCAGGTATCAGGCATCATCAGAACAAAAAATCTTACCATAGAGAATGAGGGGGGTGCGGAGTGGAGACCCATAGCCCATTTGTAGGCCACTGGAGATTCCCTTGCAGAGGGATCTCAGGGAGGAGACAAACTACACAGGGTGCAATGTACCAACGATGAAAAATACAACTTTCCTCTAGTTCCTAAATGCTTCCTCTGCCCCCCACTATCATGATCCCAATTCTACCTTGCAAGTCTGGCTAGACCAGAGGGTGTACACTGGTATAGATAGGAACTGGAAACACAGGGAATCCAGGGCAGAGGATCCCTTCAGGACCAATGGTGTGAGTGGCTATAGTGGGAGCGTAGAAGGAGAGTGGGTTGGAAAGGGGGAACCGATTACAAGGATCTACATGTGACCTCTTCTCTAGGGGACGGAAAACAGAAAAGTGGGTGAAGGGAGATGTCAGACAGGGCAAGATATGACTAATAATTTATAAATTATCAAGGGATGAGGGAGGGGGGGAAAAAGGACCTGATGTCAGGGGCTTAAGTGGAGAGCAAATGTTTTGAGAATGATGATGGCAATGAATGTACAAATGTGCTTTACACAAATGATGTATGTATGGATTGTGATAAGAGTTGTATGAGCCCCTAATAAACGATTAAAAAAAAAGATTAGTATGATGATCAACAGTTTGATTGGTTTTCTAACATCCTTGTATCTTCTTTATACACCAGTAGTTAGAATTCTGATATTGACTCAAAACTGTATGCCTCTGCCCTTGCTGTTCTTACTTTGTGTGAAAGGAAATATATAAAGAACTTCCAAGTCTGGAAAATGTGCCCCTTCTTTTGAGACCTGTTGTTCATTGTTCCACTCCTTACTCACTTAGGCGTTCTAATCAAACCAGATGGAGAATTATGTCAGCTAGACATCTACAGTATTTTTGTGTTATTTACCTCCCCCAAATCCACTGCCATCGAGTAAAGTCCTACCACACATAGCAATCCTGTAAGACAGAGTAGAATGTCCTTTGGGTTCGGAGCCTTTACATCTTACCAGAAGTAGACGCATCTTTCTCCCTGGGTTCAAACTGCTCATCGTGCAGGCAGTAGCTCGTGCGGAATCCACTACCGCCATGGTTCCTTTCCTCGGCTGAAATTTTAAAAATACTATTTTCAGAAAATTAGAGAAAAAGGTAAGACAAACAACATTGACAAATATTCTGATACTTGTATGTGTATTTGGACAGGGAGACACACACTCCACACTAGGCTTTTTCCCACTTAGAAAACCAACAGTCCTTCGATTGGCAGTGTCCAATTTACATGCAACTCATATTTATGAACCAACCCCCACACAGCTTATTATATTAAAATTCAAGATCCACACAGTGCATGCTACTGCTTTGCAGCATGCCTCAAAATGTTAGTATTATGTCACTGAATTATTATGTTAAAGATGTTTTAGTTTATCTGGAAGTGTTTAATATTCTTTATGTATTGATATGTATACTACATACGATATGCTCAAACATTTAACTGAAACTAGTACCCCACTATTCTGAAACTGTTCTCACTCAGGTACAATTGTGTCTAAAAGGGCCTTCTGTATATCTGTCACATCTCCCCAAATCAATAAGAACCTAGACATGTCATATTTAATTGTGTGGTATTCTGTTTCATGGTACAGCATAAATCATGCAACTAATTCTCTCTACTTGGAATTTCAGTTTTGCTTCAACTACAGGCAGCCTGCTGGTAATCTCTTTTAAAGCTTTATGGCCGCAGGGATTTTTATCTGCTGTGTTCACGGTTTCATGTCTCTAGCTCTCAAAACAATACCTGCGAAATGTTGGTCTCTTGATAAATACTTGTTAAATGAATGACTGAAAATGACCAGTATAAGGGCCCCCCTCCCACTGTTCCACAGCAAGGATATTAAAATGAATCCCAAGAGTAAACTGTAGACATTAAGGATGAAAAGTCTTATTTACACACATAATATACTTATTCATTTTAGTTATAAATTTCATGCGCTTCCATCAGACACAAAATGTCCTCTATGAACTTGAATTAGGAATGTCACTTTAATTTTCATAACGATTTATTGCCATGTAATTTACAGATCACACAATTTACCTCTTTAAAGTATACACTTCAGGTTTTTTTTAGCTCAGTCATCAAGTTTTGTAGCCATCAAGTTCCAAATTGTTCAGACTTGAAAACGAAATCACTCATTACTTCGGTTTTAGATCATTTTTGTTGCCCCATTAGCAGTCACTCCCTCCATTGCCCCCATCAATATATTTTACTATAAAATATCCCCATTTATTCTTAGTAAGGCCCCCCCCCCCAGAAAGATATACAGGTTTACGTCAATTCTGTAAAACTTCTTTATGTTAACCCTTTTTCTTTTACATTTTAAACTATACTAACATTGATAGGAAAAGTGTTCAAATGTTCACTCTTGGAAAATAATGTCACTTGTTATTTCTATTTTAGGACACTGAGATATTTTCGTTTGTGTCTTCCTCGCATCGTGTCTTCATAAGATTCCACGCGGAATATGCCTTGCTGCCGTCGGGCTTCTGGTTAACGTGGACCAGCTAACCTCCCGTGCTGTCTCAGCACCGCGCCGCTCCTGTAGAGACAGCGGGACAGCACCCTGGGCAGGATCCTGCTTGGTGGGGACCCGCCCACGCCACTGAAAATGATTTAAACTTCTACACTTTTCACCACTGCTTGTATAGAGTCTGCGTTCGAACACTTTTTCTGGGATGTAAAAATGTAGTTTATTTCATTGGAACTGTGCACGTCAGGCTGATAATGTTTTTGAGCAGAAATAAAATTATCCTTATATCGTTGGAAAAGATTGTTGACGTGATATAGCACAAATATTTTTAAAAGTTTGGGAGGATGGTGACGGAGTGACACATACCAGAGGGTCTCCACAGAATCCAGCCTAGGAGAGTTGCTTAGAGGGAACTTTAACACAACTGGAACGCAGGAGGAGCATCATAAAGATAAGTAGGCACAAACCCACAGGGTTTTGAGCGGCTTGGGGTGTTTTGGCTTACCTCAGTGGAAGCCGGCTGGGGCTTGACCTTGGCCCTGCCACTGTCATTTGGAGCCCTTAGGGGGATTTGGTCTCAACACAGCCACAGTTTGCCCCAGGCAGCCTCAGGGCAGGGACTGGACCCTTGCAGCTCCACGGGCAGGGACCGGGTTCCAGCTACATTGTAGCTTTCATCTACATCTCTGCTCTCAGTTCTCCCACAGTCTGGGAAGGTCTGCGCTCCACCCTGTGTAGCTAGCCCAAGGCTAGGGAAAGCCCTGCTTTCCCTCCAGGGGATACTCTGCCCAACTTCTCACAGGGGAATTCCTGCCTGTGTACCTGGGGACATAAGGCAGCTCG